TCTAATTCAAGAGAAGTTTGTGAAATCCTAATACTTACCATTATAAAAGGAAGGAAGAACTTTGCTTCTTCCTCTTAGCAATGATCTTTATTGCTTAGTTGTATGATGTGTCAAAAGAAATAGAGAGGAAGTTTGTGTGTGTGTGTGTGTGTGTGTGTATGTGTGTGCGCGTGCGTACGTACGTGTAAGTATCTAAATCGGGAGTATAATTTCATTCTTAGCAGATTCCTCAATGTAGATAGGCACATACACCCTAATTTAAATAATAAATACATATTTCCTCAATCCTGGATCTCTTTCATTTATGAAAAACTGATTCTCAATATCAAGTGCCTTTCCATGTGTGCATAAAGGGGAAAGATTTGATCATTTTGAAATTTTTCAAATAAACCATTTTTAATGTTTTTAATTCCCATTTTACGTCCAGATTTGCTACTTTCCTCCTTGCTATAGAGAGCTGAAATGATTTTTTTATTATTTATGTCTTTTGATTTATTACGTACCTCACATAATACTTTATACAATACTTTACATATTATATAAATCATAAAATCAAGTAAGATATAAAATATTGATCATATCTTAAATCCCAGCATAAAGCTCAATAAGAATGTATAATATAAACATTTAGTCTCACACTTGGAACTAAAACAATTAGATCAATACGTTATAAAAAAAAATCTCAGGAGAATTTTTAAAAGCCAAAAAACTGACGCTGATAATGAAGCTACTGAGTTTTTAAGGACAGCATTCCACAATTTGACAGCTGATGTGACAATCCTGTTTCACATACCTGTCTTTTCCATTTCAGACTGGAATAAACGTTTCTCGTTCTTCTATTGTTTACATTGCAATTATTTTGACTAACTCTCAATATAAGAGTTCTTCAGTGCATTTACTATAGCTTTGGCTGTTCAGCTATTAATGATATATAATCACGGATAATAATCTATTTCATCATGTTGCTAAATTAAATAAATATCCACTTAGGTGCATTGATAGTTGTGATATAGAAGGCATATTCTCTTTGTCTTGCATATATTTTACTCTATATTGTACTTATCATCCTTAAAGTTTATCAATTTATCAAAAGGTGAACATCACATTGGTAGTTAATTAATATAGTCTCCATTTTTGACCAGAGTTTAGATTGTTCTTTTCAATCTGAATCCAATCTAGTGTAACTATAGAAGGATGATATTCTTGGTTGTACTTCTCATGAGACAAAATTCCCAGGTCTTAATCGAATGCTCCCTGGCCACAGCAGACGCAATTTTACTTTATAGAATGATGCTTGATGCTTCCCTCATTGTCAATGTACTGATTTCGTCTCTTTTCTTATTTTATTAATGATAAAAATTAATACTAAGAACTGAATTTGGTGACAGAAAGAAGAAAGATTTAAAATAAGTGCCAGTCTTCTCCAACATCTAATTCTAAAATTAGAAGTAAAACTTCTAATTTTATCAAAAAATCCACCTTCAAAAATAGATTGCATTGAATGTAATATTATTATGAATTATAGAAAATTTACAAAAACAAAAGAAAATTGAATAACCGTCTTTTTATTTAAAATTATTTTTCAGGCTGATAAACCTAATGAAGAAATATATGCCTGGTCAGAAACAAAGCAAAAAGAAATATGTATGTCCAATGAAAAGACAAAACCACTTATTCCAGAGATATGTTTTATTTATAGCGAGGAGAATACAGAAAACTATCCATCCAATGGCTTTATTGAAGAAGATGGGACTAGTATACTAATATCCTGTGCAAAATGTTGTGTACAGGTCCATGCAAGTATGTATCATAGCTTTACATTCCACTTTCATTTAGTTTGCATTGTTAAGCTAATCTTTGAGTAACTACAATCATTAATCTATCATTACTCCTGGAGGAGATGTATGATGATATAGAACTCATTTGTATAAAAAAATGAAAGGGCCTAATACTGATGAAATCAGAAAATGGGTTTAAATATTCTATAGAGCAGAAATAGAGCATGATTTGAATAACTGAGCTGTTGTCTTTGTATCAGTCTATAATTCTACTATAATGTTTTACACCATACCTAAAGATTAGGTACTTAAGTTACTTGATTGAATTGCAGCATTACACATTACACAGTGCTGGCCTTTCATCATAGAACATTATTGCTATAGTAGTCAAGTAGTAATTTTATCACATGACAAATATATTGGATTAATAGGCAAGCTATCATAGTCAATTTTTTTTTAAAGACAGCTGTTTTGAGGAATGAGAACTGTTGCTAAGATATGTATTTCAGCTGCATATTTTTGAGAAAATGCTTGTTCTTCTCTTTCTTTAATCCCAGCATACAAATCTACTGTCTTTTTTTAATGGTTCAGTTACATGTTACCTCTTTAGCTAGATAAATAACAAAGTGCAAAATCTGTTGTATTGTTTTTGCTCTTACATTATAGGTTGCTATGGTATTCCTTCCCATGAAATCCACGATGGATGGCTTTGTTGTAGATGCAAAAGAGGAGCCTGGACAGCTGTAAGTTATGAACTTTATTTAATTGTTCATAATCCTGACCGACTAAATCTCCAGATTATATGTGACAATAAAACATAAATGTATGTATCTCAGAATCAGGAAATATTTATTTTATGAATTTAACATCTTGTTTTAATTATTATTCTTCAGAATGATTTTTTGATTTCATTTTCGTATATGGTAAATAAAGTGTATAAATTAAAAATCCAAATACTGAATATCTTGATACTAATAGCCATCAGAAATTCCTCTCATTATTTGTCGTTGCAATGCTGCTTATAGCCAACTAGTTCCAAACTGTAACTAATTAACTGAGGCTTTTTGATACAATTATTTTAAATTGCTGAGTAGTGCACAAGTTATTCCAAGTTTGCACAATATTCCATCTAGAAAGATTAATGGACTACCAATAATTTATTACCTCTCTTTGTAGCTAGATGAACAGACTGAAATTTAAAATTGATATCAATGAAGGGTAAATACTACCGTTAAGTTCATAGGTTCAAGACAATACTGAAATCCTTTGTTGAATACATATTATACAGGTAATTGGTATATAAAAGAATCATACAAAATATAATGTATGCCTCAAAATATCAATAATTTGAGATCTTTCTTTTCTATTGAGTTTATGATGTAAAGGTAATGCAAATGTTTCCCATTTCTATTTTAAATATATATTTTATGCGGGATTTGGGAGGTTGCTAAGATACTTTAAATGAAAATATTTATGTCTTATGTTTATGTTTTTCCATGTCTGGAGTTGAATGGTTTCAAGATGCATACCTCTTATTCCTTGAATATCTTTCTTATGTTGTTCCAGTGTAAAGTTTCTTTTCCTGCAAGAAATGCTCAATCCTTTCATAATTACTGGTTTCCTCTAAGAATTCAGTTTATTTTTATGGTAAATTCAACTGGATGAAACCAATAATTAAAATATTCAGAATAATTAAGTTGTAAGTGTAGAATATAAAACTACTGAAATTTGAGCCATCTTTCACATTTAGGAACACTTTCATTTATCTCAAGTTAGTTGAGACATTTCATGAAACTAAAGGTGATTAAAGGAGTGGAAAAATCCCAAACCCAGAATGTTGCGGGAACTTTTTATAAACATGATGTGTATAAAGAGATATAAATTATTCAGAAATATACGTGTGCTACCTTATTGTTTTTATTTTATAATTGCTAATAAATTCAACTTATAGTACAGTAGTCCAGAATTTACCATTCATTTTGTAAAAAATGACATTTATTTCCACCTAAAGCTATTGTAGCCTTCCCAGGTAAACCAGACAGTAAGCAGGACTAAGTGAAGTATCTCTACTTTATTGCAAGGGTACATTAACGCAATTTTGCAAGTTTGATTGTACAAACTTTCCACTGTCAATTTTAACTACTTGATCTATTAGGACAGGTCCTTCCTATGTTTCTTTCTCTGACCATTAAGCCATTGAGGGCTTCTATCTCTTTGTTTGCTAGACAGCATGTCTTCCCCTCATTCCCCAAGGTCATCCATACATTATATTACAGCTATGAAAGTACACTTAAAATTATATTTACTTACTTGCTTATTTCAGTTTATGTGCTGCTCCACTCATGTGTGACTATTAGTAGATAACATTCCCCCATCCAGTAATGAGATTAAAACACTAACTTTTTAAAAACATCATTGCCTAAAAGTAACAAGAAACAAGCAATACTATTCTTGGCGCAGGAAAAAAGACATTGCAACAGATTCCCCAAGGCCCTCTGAAAAAGCATTTTGAAAAGCCTTAATGGCCTATTGATACCGTAACAGTTTTGGATACATCTTGGAGGAAATACTATTCCAAGGGAAGGGGGCAGTGACATTTTCCTGAGGACTGTTCCTGAGGTCTCTCAGATCTGGGTGCTGAATGAAACATGGCAGAAGGCAGCCTCAGGATACCCAGATGCTTAGCTAAGTTGTTCCTCGTAAAAACTGAGAACTGAAAACAACACTGGGCTACTTTTAAAAACTACTTCATTTTACTAATTAACTTTGGTATCTATATTTTTTATAACATGCTTGTAGGTTACCTGTAATGCATCCTTTGTCCTACACAAATTGGAAAGAGAAGCATTAGCAATGAACTTTGCAATAAATAATGACTTTGCCTCAATCCCACTATGGAATATATTAGTATTTTTCACAGCAATTTAGTTTATTTTTCTTTTATGAAAAGTAAGAAGTAGACTGAAGAGGTTGGAAGGGACAATAATTCCTTCTAGCTGTTGGTAAAGAACAAACAGAAGGTAGCAAACATGAAGTGTATATTAACCAAGGCAGGCAAATAAAATGGCAAATGCCAATTTAGAACATATTAATATAAAAAACGGTGATTCATATGTATAGCTAATTCAGTGTTTGCTTGGTGAGCTGCTATTAAAATTTTCCTAGAGTCCATTTCTGAATCTGTAATATGTTTTCGTTTTAGCAGGGTAGGCATTCTTTCCAGGCAAAATTGAATTTTTCTTCCCTTGCTGGCTGCCCGATAAAATTGCAAAAGTTCCTTATCAGGCAATCAGAAGTTCTGGGACTTATGAAACTCCTTTTGTTACAGCTTCAGTAAGATTTGTGGGTGGGTTTAGAAAGGAGGGAGAATGGCAGAAGTCAATTCCAAGAACTGACAGTGTGTCTTTTAAGTCAGAATGTAATTATCAGTTTAATTCAGTTAAACAGAGATATACAGCTCTGCTGCTCTAAGAGTGTGTCAGTTTTCTTTCAGCCAAGGAACTGACATGGCATCTTTTAGCATTAGTAAGAAGAATGATCATGAGTTTCCTTGTGTAGGTAGCTTGGTTATATTTAGAATGATGAGAGTTTCTCATCTAATAATACCTACACATATCTAAATTATGATAAAGACCTATGAATGGATAAATGTAAGAGTAGGTTTTAGTGCTGGAACTCAAAACTGAACTGTAAGTATAAGCCTTGAGCAACTCTATGAACAACTGTTTCACAATCTATGTTCCAGCAGAAAGTGAAACAATCCAGTCATAAATCAGAAAATACATCATTGTGTTTGCTTGTAGAGCCATAAATCAGGCATCAGCCTCCCATCTGGGTTGCAGGGGATCAGGCAGTAGCACAGAAGTGAAAGTCCAAATACAGAAGTCAAGCTTCAGTGCAGAGGTAGGTGCAGTTGATGGATCCAGTCCAAAAGTCAAGAATTCATTCATTCCACTCATTAGTACCCTTAATATCCAAGACTTCTTTACCACTGGGGTCGGACAAGGAACAATGTCAGTGTTCCCATAAGTTGGTTTCCACTGCAAATGGTTCTTCTTTGCATTGCTTCTAACCTCTATACATGCTCCTGGCATTCTCAAAGCTTGGGATGCCTTCCTCCAGCTCCAGGTCAGGAACCTCTATATGAGAGAGAAAGGAAAGCAGCATCTGCATTGGTTCTTCTTTGGTTGACATTGGAGCTGAGGTTTTTTTTTCTTCTGAGTTATACTCATTCAAGGAACAGCAGCTGCCTACCATCTCACCCAATCACTAGCTCTGATAATTTATCACATCTATCTACTTTATCCATTCTGTTTTCATTAATCTTGCTATTATATATTTTTTGAAGTCAGTCATCCAATTGAATCACATGTCCAAAATATATGAATTTCTGTTTGCTGATCATCTCAAGCAAGCAATAATTCTTTTATCCAGGATCAACCAATTGATTCTTCTTGCAATCCTGTCCAAAGCAGGATATCTGTTTACTTCTCCTTCTGTCTTGTCTACCTTTATTCCTGAGCCCAGAGATAGTAAAAGGTAAATGTTTCCCTTGTTCAGTTATGTCGAACTCATTGAGGGTGGTGCTCATCTCTGTTTCTTAGCTGAGGAAGCTAACGTTGTCCAAAGACACTTTTGTGCTCATTTAGCCAGCATGACTATATGCTGAGGCGCACAGAATGCAGTTACTTTCCCACCAAAGTGGTACCTATTTATCTAGTTGCATTAGCATGCTTTTGAACTGCTAGGTGGGCAGGAGCTGCAGCAAGTAATGGGAACTCACTCTATTGTGCTTGGGTCTTAAACCCGAACTGTCAACTTTCCAACTAACAAGCTTAGCATCTTTAACATTGATCTTTACTTCTCCTGAACATTGTCTACCTTTATTCCTGAGCCCAGAGATAGTGTAGTCTACCATTTTCGTGTTTTACCCTCTGTTTCACTAATCATTCTGATTAATATTATCTTTCTCATCTTAAAATTCAGCTTCACATTTTACTTTACAATTTTATTTCCACTTTAGATTTTATGTTTGTCATAAACTATTGTGTGAATTACTTTCATCTAACTAAGAGCTGCCATCAGTCTATCTCCATGTACTGGAATTTTGGCCTCACATTCTGATTCAGCTTTTATTTCTTGCCATTGTTACAATATATTGGCAATACAAGCTAAATAGATACTTGGATAATATGTATCCTTGTCTCATTTCCTTTCCTATTTTGAAATATCTTCTTTTTTCCAAACTCTGTTTTTAGCCTAGCTTTTCATTCAATGTAGATTTCCTTAGGAGAATAAGAATATGTATGACACACTAAGGAATATTTATTTCTGGCATCATTTACATAATCAAAGCAAGGCCTTGTTATCATTAACTTGGAAAATAAGTGATGGGTAAGGGCTCTGATAATCATGATCTCATGACAGAAATAGTACAACTTTTTGTAAGTACTCAGATTAGATATAATTCAAGTTGTTCAATATGTCTCTGGTGCAATGATGTCATTATGTACATGTCATTTTAATAACCTCATAGCTTATTACAGACATCACTATTATAGTCAGAAAAGTACTTCTATTATCTTGCAGGCTTCACTATCTGTCTTTGTTGATTCTCTCTGTTCATTTGATATTTCACTCTCTGTATAGCTCTAATTTTCTTTTTAATATTAAGAAATGCTTTGCTTATATGAGGAATTATAGAAGTTGTTTTCTTGTATCTTCTTCAGTATTAGGTATATAT